TCTTGATTATTAATTTGAAGTAGATTGTCAAATGTTAAAGTAGAATACCATAGAAAAAGAATAAGTTCAGGTCTGAGGTTTGAGAAAGGCCCACCAGAGTAATAACTTTTTACCAACAGACACAAACTGATTAAAGGAATTAAACGAAAATAGGACAGAATTCAACTTTTATTTTTATTACACTGTCTCAAGTACAAAGCAAGAGAATTCGCTCTCTGCATTTAACTCATCCCTTTGAGGAGCAGTAGGCTGCCATTGTGCAGCGCCGGGGGAGCAGTGTGGGGTTAAAGGGTCTTACTCAGGAACCCAGAGTTCAGGCTGTGGGGATAGAACCGGGTACTTTTAACCTTCTAAGAGCACAAGCGCACTGCTCTAACCACTAGGCCAACACTCAACGGAAACTAGTTTGAAAGCTCAGGAGAAAAATAAAAAAAAAACACTCTGTTTTTGGCCACTCTATACAGCTTCAAACTCAACGCTAATTCTGACATTCTGAATTAAAAAAGCTTCCTGCGTGTGAAGCAAAACGTCTTCAAATTTAAAAACAAAGTCCAGTGGACTATTTTTTTTTTTACTTTTTTGGAACCTCACTGAAGGCCACAGTATCAACTGGAAACTGTAGAACAATGGTGATAATGCAGACAGTACATCACCACAGAACTTTAGGGCCCTGACCAAGACAGAAATCCCTGGTACAAAAAAGGCAGCATCAAACACCACTAAAATCCACAGCTATAAACAAGAACAGGCTTCTTACATTGTACAGAAATGTTTTATGAATGGTTCAAAATTTGTGCAATTAGTAATGAGAAAATGTAGCATGTTTGGGTGATAGAACTGATCAAACATGGTTCAGGTAGAATCATGATGAGGGGTCTGCTTCTCTAAGCTGCTTTGTTGACTATCTCTACATGTATTTTTTTTTTTCATTTTAAGAGCTGCTCTTAAGGTTTGGATCACAAAGTTATATAAGTCAAGACTATTTGAACCATCTCAAGACGCTACAACACAGCTAAAGGTTTGTTTGTTTAATAAATATACAATTTAAAATTAAAAGACACCAAATTATTTCATATCTTAGTTGGCACTGACGTATATGTATGATTATAAAACATTATTTATGGTTGAATATAGTTTTTTCTCCCAAAGCCCAATTAGGTCCAACTAAGATATACACCCAATGTGTTGAACCTGTAAAAAGCTTCTTTTGGAGCAACTAGAGAAACATGAAGCAGAGGCACAGACAGACAAACACATCTTACATGTTCAACTCATCCCCCACCTCACCAACAATGTAAGCAAAGGATTTGGCACAAGCAGCGGGGAAAGAAAAATAGACAACATGGAGGCATCCGTCAAAAAATATGCAGAAAAAAAATGCTTCTTAGGCTGCGAAACCAAATGGTTTATCATTTAAAGGCACAATCCTCCATCTTTAAAGCTATATTTGCAAATAGTAAAACACATACAGAAAAACGACTGCTTTTTTAAGCACACGGTTTATATAGGTTTCATTTTTGCTCTTTAAAAAAATCATAATGCTGAAATGAACCTAAATGATCCAAATCGTCCGAGCCAACGACTACAAAATAATATAATTTTCCTAATTAGTTGCTTTGAAAAGATAGAAAATTTCTGATTATGATTACAAATCCGAATGGTTTGCAAAAGTAATCACATAACTTTTGAAAAAATAGAGCCGAGCTCTGAACACCTCAGAGCTGTGTCAGAGAATCTCAATGAGCAAATAGCATCATGAAGACTGAGGAACACATCAGAGGGAAAGCTAGTAAAAAGGTTTAGACAGTGTCAGGTTTTTACAAAATACACTAGGGGGTCTAACATGCAATGAGTGGTGTTAAAAAAACAAAACAGAAATAAGTAAGCCATGAATGCAAACCTATCTAAACATACAAGTCCACCTAAACTGAAAGGGACAATAAGAGAGGATTAATGAGAGAAGCAACTAAGAGTCCCATGGTAAATCTGTAGGAGTTACTATGGGAATCAGCAATTCTGAGAGATAACAGCTAATAGATGTGCAAACCGCACACCTCTAGGGGTGGTAAAAACATCCCTTAGGTCGGTTTTGAAAAAGCCACAAGTAAACCACATCTCATTTTTTACCAGAAGCCATTTAGGGGATGCAGCTAACATGTGGAATAGGGTGCCCTTATCAGATGAGACAATAAACTTGTTGGTTTACACTTAAAAAACACTGAATATAACCACAAAAACATCATTTCAATAGTAAAACATGGCAGATGCACAGGGTTATAATGCTGTGGGGATGCTTTTCCCGCAGGAACTAACTAACGTTGTCCAGTAATATAAAACCTATTTGTTTTTGTTTTTTTTCTCACTTTTTCTTGTTTATTATGAGCTACTTTGTAGGGTTGTCAAAAGTATTGATACTCAAAAAAGTATCGATACTGAAACGTTGTATCCGGATACAATACTCGTTTTTAAAAGTATGGATACAGTGCCACCACCAGTGGCACCTAAGCAGTCATTCATCTAAAGTGAAGAATAGAGGAAAATGCACTTTCTGAACACTGTGTGACTGAATAATTCTGTGCACTTTTCAGTTTCAGACTTTTTTTTTGTAAGAGGTGCAACTGCTGAGAATTATTTTTGTTTCTTAACCGGTTTGGCTAGTGTCATTATGTGTGCAAAGCATAGCCAAGGAAGGAACACTTAATGTTAAGTTTTTTTTAATCAAGCTTGCTTAATATTGTGCACACCATACACCTAAAAATATTGTTCTTATTGTTTATTGTATTTATTTATTGTATTTTATTTATTTATGAAAATATTTCTGTAGAATTTTGGAGTCTTTGTTTTTATCCTTGTGGTATCGAAAATGGTATCGAGTATCGAATATTTTCCTTAGTATCGGTATCGAGTTGAAAAGTTTAGTATCAAACTTACTGTTTGTAATGTTACATACTAACGGAGCTATATGAACAGTATTTCTCATATGCATCAAATTCAGTCAGAGAATGAATCTTAAAAAAAAACAAAAAAAATCTTAATCTTAATCAATATGATCTTGAGAAAATAACTAAATGAGCCAAACTGGACTGTAGCTTAATGAATAAAAAGGCCATGAGGTTAAAACAAAGGGGGAATGAGTCACTATCAGGTAGCTGGAGAAGTTGACATGCAGAAAAGTAAAGCCTTTACTGTAGACTGAATCAGTATCGTGAAGCAGGAAATGATTTGAAAGATATAAAAAAGGATTTCTACATAGACTTTTGTTACAGAGAATAAAAACTTAAATTGTATGAAAATGTTATTTAAATTAAAAATACAGCAGAACATTTGTATCTTTTTTAGTCTGGCTCAGTCAATTTAACAAATTACTCTTAATAAGTGGGACAAATGCTCTTTTTCGGTCATTTAATCTGCCATCAAGGGTTCAAAAGATTACAAAGAGTGATGAGAATAAAAACGTTTTGTGTTCTCATAAAAAAATCATTTTTTTTTTTGCCTTGGACAGTTTTAATTAATAAGATGATCCAGTTTCAAGTCAACTATCCTCTTTCTGAAATATCTTGTTTTTATAACACTATTCATGTTAAGTTTGTAGAAAATTATAGGTTAGAACAATGCCTTTAAGATCACAATATATCGATATGTAAACCCTGTATGCAGTATTAAAAGCATTAAAAAAAATACAAATTCTTCTCTATTGCCTGAAATGCTTCATATATTATAGGTTTGGTTTGTTTTTTTTTGTTTGTTTTTATAGCCTCATTATGTTATTGTCATTCTGAAATATAGGTTTGTTTTTAATCACCACACACTTATTGCAATTGATCACAAATTAATAAAATGGTTCTAATATTTGGAACTAAAATATATAATGATTTAATACATTTTACTGTATTGGCATTATCTGTAATTTTGCTCCAAAAAGCCTTTTTTGGATGATTAACCAATGAGTATTTCACCAATTTGCAAACGAGTCACTTGGAAGCTACATTGTTTTGTTTTAACTGAAGTCGGTCGCTCAATTTTACCATGGAAGCCAATTATCCAAAGTATCAATTATAACCTGTACAGGTTGTGGTAATGTGTCACTTTTTCGTTAAGAGTTATGTGGGAGTTATGAACTCCCACATACGTGAAAAACCACGTGAAAATAATGATTAGTTCTCCCTCAGGGAATAGGGTTTCAGCATTGCTCTCCCCGGTGCTTACCAACATTTTAGAGAACCACGAAAAGACAAAAAAATAACTCATCTACTAATAAACTGTATTAATGTTTATATTTCTATAAAAGATACCATCTCTTTACAATCTGCATACAATAGAGTTTTTTTTTTTTTTTAAAGAGTGAGATTTTTTTTATGCAATTACAACTGTGGAGCCCTTCAGCAAGGCTTTAGCCAATCAAGCTGTCACAGAGAAATCATTACTGAGCTACTGGGTATGAAGCAGGGTTAACAGTGCAGGCAACAGGCAGGACTGGACAAGAGAAGAATATCTTTTAAGATTTTCTCTCATATTTCTTTGAACTGATCAAGTTGAAACCAGAAAGTTTTTTGAATGAAGGAAAAATGTGACACTCAGTTTACTGAGTTTTTCTTTATCAGGCAGCTGCAAGTGAAACATTGAAGCAGGATGATTCTGTTGTCTGTCTAGTTTTAATTTCACATTTGTTAATAATAAACTAATCCCTTTTATTTGTCAGTGCCAAACAGAATTTGCTCACTGCATTTAACCCTTTATCCCCTAGGAAACAGTGTGCAGCCTGCAGCGCCCTAGGGAGCATGTAGGGTTAAGGGTCTTTCTAAATGAGCCAAACCTCACATTAAACAATAACATCATAACCAAAATGCAAATGTCATCTTCTCATACCACTAGATCACTACTCTTCATTATGAACACATGCTTTTTGAAAATACTTAACCCAGGACACAAGAACAGGATCATAATACCAATACACGTCTATTAAGATTAAAACAATATTAAGTCTCAGTCCTTGTTCTTACCTGGACGTGTGGTGTAAAGGAGCTTGTAGCCTTCAAAATTTCCTTTTGGTTCTTTCCATGATACCTCGAGCTTGTTCTGTCCCAAAACTTTGAAACGAAATCTCCGTGGTGGTGAGACTGGCCACAGAAAAAAAGAAAACAAACTGTATTAAATGATTGTTCTGTCAGATATGTGATGCAAGTATCTGTATCCAAGGCAAATTCATATAAAACAGTCTCATGCAGCAGATATTTTAAAATATTTGGTCAATATACTCGATAACCTCATTTGTCAATAATGTCTGTACTAGAACATTGGAGGGAGTTCAATTTTCAACATGCAAATTCTTAGAGATCTAGTTGATCCTTTCTGTCTTTCATTCAGTATCATGCAAAAGTTTTCCCATGAATCAGAATTGATTTTTTATGTCATATAACAGAGAGCATCACACTATTTTAAAGTGTGGTTCTCTGCAGGGTAGCAGAATATTCCAATTATATGTATATTATACATACCACATATCCTCGATATGTGGTATATATTTCTGAAGCATTCTCAATCAGCTCTAATTTTTAGAATTTAGTTTAGATTTTTGCTTTTTTTTTTGCATTAGTAGCTTTAATGATAATTGTCAACATGGATATTCTTTGATATATGCAATGGTGCCTCCAGAAATATTTCATAGGGGAGGCCAGACTGGGCAATTAAAAATCTTTGGCTGGCACACTGAAAGTAAAAGCCATAATTTTGGGGTTTGAATCTACTATTGAGGTAAACGTGTCTGCAGAAATCATAAAGACTTAAATAAACATCTAGTCGTGTCTTGGTTTATGATGTCATTTTTTAATCTTATGTCACATTTGTGGCCAGGGTGTTGCTTATTGGTGGCCGTGGCCACTCCCTGGTGGCACCACTGTATATGTGGAGTCGCTGTCCGACTGAAAGGTTAACCGCTACCCCAGGATCAAGACTATTTCCCTGTAATAGGTTTTCTTCCAGTTCTGCCCTCTATCTGGCAAACAGCAAGCCATGTGAATGCCTCTGTTAACCATCATCACTGGATTTCTTACAGACTGTGCTCTCCGTCAAATTTCACTCAAGCACAGTCACACTGAGCCCAAGACACAACTTTAAAAACCATTACAATAGATTGAACTCCCTCCAAAATTCTGGTGCCATTAAGACAATCACTCAGTTTTTAACAGTCGGTAAACAGGAAAAAAAAAAAAAAAAGGATATACTGTATCTCTTCCATGAGGAGGATACACATCAGAGAGATTAGATAGAACAGATGTCAAATTAAAAAACCCCAAAGTCGCATTCTCCTCCTCTTCCATGTCTTCCTGAATTGTGCTCGTCTCTTTGGGGTATGACAGCTCTTGCTTGTGTTCTTTTTGCCATCTATATCAAAGCGACATTCCTGCCTCTCATCTTGATTATTTGTTGGCCCTTTTAGCTGTCTAGCGACCTATACCATACCCTCCCCCCACCGCCTCTTCACCAAACTCTTTTATATTCATTCATTTTCACGAGTATTCGCTCTCTTAACGTCTCCTCAACTGTCCCCCTGCCATTCTTCATCTATGACTGATCCCTTGCTTTACTGATCTCTGGATGTCTGTTCACTTTGAAATCCATGAGAGATGAGAGGAGGACAATGAAAGGGAGAGAATGTGACTTTCTTTTAAGCAATCGAAGAAAAAGAACAAAAGGAACCAAAGGGAAAGGCACTGGAATAGCATACCGGTGCTATTCCTCTCCTGTCCTAGCCAGGATCATTGAGACATAAATCACAGAATAATATGATCAAAGAACTCCACAAAACCCGGAACACTTTACAATTGCCTTCATTTGTGTAGAGACCTACAGAAAAGTCAACAACACTGTGAGTGGAATTTTAAAGTGTATTTAAAAGGTTATAATCATTTTCCACTGGTTTTCTGCACAGTGCTGTTAAGTTTTCATAAAGGTTAAAGCTCTGGGATATGGCTATTGTAAAGAAAAACAATGGAAGGAACCACATAACCAGGTCAACAACCATCCTGTCATTTCTACACCACCAAAGCCAAATCCCACATGCTAAAAACATATCTCAAGGGAGTGAGCTCTCCAGTTAACTTTAATTGACTGCAAAGAAGAAAAAAAATAAAAAGAAACCCAGGGGGAGAAAAATAAGATATGAAACCCACAAACTAGTTTTTGTGGCTGTGCCTTCATTATGAGGTGAACAGTCTGCTGCTGCCAAGTTCTTTAAATACCTACACAATGACTGACGCCTTATAAAGCTTTGATGTTCTGAAGAGAAATGCACAAGAGGCTTTTAAGAATGGTTCACTCATAACAACCAAATGGGAATTGAATAATGATTCATGGAAAATATTGTTTTGTCTTTCATATCTGTTTGGAAAAACATGTTACCATCAAATATAACATGAAAACAGGCATTGGCCAGTTGTCGGTCGGGTATGCTGTTCGTCAAAATTTTAACCACGACCTCCTCAAAAGAAACATTTTCCAGTCTATTAAAGGGGTTTATTCTTCATTATTATGGCGCCATTGACCCTCTCTATTCATTTGAAGTACAAAACCTAACTTAAATAAGAAGATTTGCTGTCATTATAAAAGGTTGGTTAGAAATATTTCCAATGGACAGAATTAAAAATATATATATATATATATAGTTGATACCTTTGGTATCTGCGTCACCATTTTTGAGGCAACACTATTTTGAAACAAACATTTTGCTACAATCTATGGAAGACAGCAGGATACTACAGGCTCAAAAAAAGTATTAAAAGTAGTAAGAAATATTGAATTGTCTAATTTTTTAGACTTTAGAAGTAACCTGTGTTCAAAAGACCTTCGACCGTTTGTATTTTTTCTGTATTAAAAGATTTTTTTCTTCTTCAATATTGCAAAATTTTATGTTTTCAAATAAAAAGCAGTTACATGTGAAACAAATATTTTAAATTTAAATTCTTGTTTTTTGTATTACAGTTATGTTAAGCTGTGTTCTGTTAAGTTCACGTCTTCCTCAAACGTTTCTTCTTTATAATTATATTATGTCTAAACTTCTCTCTAAGTGCTTTAGCATTTGAGCCAACACAGATCAACTTCATTGTTGATAGAAATTAAGGGTGGGTAATGCATATCCAACTAGAAAAATATAATACGGAAATGATGAGCGTTTATCCACTGAACTTGAAATATTCTACACTCATTATTACATCACAAAAAATATTTTGCGAGTGTGAAATGGTGCACACCGATTCTGCAATTAAATTCAATGTATTTTGAAGCTAGTTTTCTGTTTACACCAACTCAACAGTTAAATATATTTTATGGAAGTCATTAAAAACAAACCTTTTACCTGATATAAATAAAATCTTTAATGTATTCAGTGGGTATTTTGTGTATATAATCCAGCCAGCAGAATAAATTGAAAGAAACTTACACATAATATTGAGGTTTTTTTTTACAATAAATGTAAAAGGTCAGAATTACATTTGTATAAAATAAATTAAATATATACTTGCATTTTTTTAATACAGTTTAATGAGTTTTATAATTGATTTAATCACTTTTTATGGAGCTAAAACTTTTTGCAAGTCACTGTAAGTTCTGATCAGTTCATCAAGGGAAAAGGCTCAGAGAGAATTTAAGAAAACCTTTTACCTTCAAATAATGGTAATACAAAAAGATAAAATATATATTTTTCAAATCCCTTTGTATACAAAGGAAAATAATGACTAAAATAATGACAAAAATTATTGGCAATAGGCCGATTAAGTAAAAAATACTTCTAAAAAAGTGACCTTTTTTTGCAAAAATTTAAAGACATTCATTTTATTTTTTTTCTGCATCTCTCTACATTTTTCATTGCAATGCTGGGTTGAAAAACACTTAGAAAACCCCCAAACCCCTTCAAGGTTGCAAGTGAACCACCTTTTATGTGTCAGACATCAGTAACAGAAAACCACTTATGTAGGTATTCAAAAACCTTGGGTTCAGCACAGAGAGGGTGATTCTGTCTCCCATGGAGAAAATGAAACCCCACTGCATCCAGGCAAATATATATTTATATGCAAAGATACCAAAAAATAGAAAAAAATTACAGTACCAATTATCTCACCAACCTGGGGATGAGAATGAGGGCTGCATGAGATTTCAGCTCAGGGCTTAGCTCTCTCGTCTGAAGAGAGCTGCTCAAATCCCAAATGATTCGAGATGCAGATTTCGCACCTTGATGCTTGCAGTGTCGCTCAACTGTGTACTGCGCCTTTGTATCTGCATGTATGTTCATAAATTATGCATGTTTGTCCACAGCTGGAAGCAGGTGTATTCGGATGTTTGCAAACATACAAAAAAAATGCAAAATTTGGTTCCTCTTTTGAAAACCTTCCTCCCTCTTAAAAAAAAAAAAAGTGCTGTTTCCTTTGCAGCATATAACACACATACAGATATAAATATATAGACAAATATAGTTACAATCACACACACACTCACAGTGAGTAAGCTTTGGATCTTCTCTATGAGATTGGATTCTCACAGAGAGAAATATTGAACGGTGTGCAAATAGCCCGGTAAGGACAGACAAAAAGCCTTGCCAGCAGAGATAGGAACTTAATTCTCATCTATTTTTCATCGAGGATTTTGTGCAAACAGCAGAGGCCGAGTGTCCGTCACACCCGACGTGAGTTGTGCAGCAAGTCAAAAGTGCTGGGATTTGACTGCATTTTAAATGAAGTCTTAAAGAGTAGAAAGAGGTGGGCTTTGGTGTCAGGGGATAGACCAGCAGTGAGCTGAGTACAGAAAACAAGAAAACTCATCTGTAAGCGAGGGACCTCTGACGTGAGTGTGTTTTAGAAAAGACCCTGTGATCTATATCACTATTGCGAAGACGGAGCTACTTAAGTGCTGTTTGAGAGTGGCTTTCAGTATCGATAAATCAACAGAGAAAGGAGGTTAATTGAAATCTGCATTTTTCAATCCACCCAAAACAACATGGATTTAGAATGAAAAAAACTGCTTTAAAGCCTTTAGAAACGCTTTTTTAATGATTTGCACTACTTTTCACCATTATCCTGCCTGTCATGTCCTTATTACCTTTAAGCGTACTTTTTACATAGTATGGTCG